CAGAGTTTTGACTTTTTGCCTGCCTCCACATCTGTCTCACCTCGCTGTGATTTTTCTTTCTTTTAAAAGAAGACGTTCCCACGAGGCCACCGTTGCCCCTTTTTCTCCCAAGGGAGGGCCTGGCAAGCGGCGGCCCAGCTAGAGCTCATTGCATTTGTCTCCGCAATGGACCTTCTTCCTAGTATAATATAAGGCCCTGTGCAGGGGAAGGAGGGTGTTCACGCCCTGAGGCTGGCAGCATGGTTGCCAACTTCCAGGTTGGGCCTTGAGATATGCCAGAATTACGACCGATCTCCGGACAGGGTTGCCGGGTCCAAATGACAATCCAGCATGGGACTCACTGGGATGCTCCAGGAGAGGGGAGGGAAGAAGCACGCCATCCCTACGTCACCCAGAAGTAATGTAGGGTGACATCTGGGGTGATTCTCTGGTTTTTGGGGAAAACTCTATGGTTTGAGGCTAAGAGCGTCCCCCCCCCCCCCACATCACCAACATGCCTACATCACTTCTGGGTGACACAGGCACTCTCCCCCACCAGCCAGCTAGTGCTGGAGGGAAGCTCCAGAAACCGGGGGATCCCCCGCGTGCTGGGGGGACCAAGCAACCCTATCTCCAGACCAATGTTCCCTCTAAGCTGAGTTAGTGTGAGCTAGCTCACAGTTTTTTCACCTCCAGCTCACACATTTTTGTCTTAGCTCAGGGAGGATGGCTCCGGAGCAAACTGATTTATGCAGTAGCCAAATAGCTTGCTCACAACTTTAATGCCAGGAGCTCACAAAGTAGAATTCTTGCTCACAAGATTCCACAGCTTAGAGGGAACATTGCTCCAGACCACAGAAATCACTCCCCCTGGAGAAAATGGCTGCTTTGGAAGGCGGACTCCATAGCACCACTTCCCTGATGAGGTCCCTCCCCTCTCCCAAGCCCACCCTCCCCAGGCCCACCCCCAAAGGCACAAGAATTTCCCATCCCAGAGTGGGCAGCCCTCGAACTGACCCTCACTCCAAGGTTAGTGTGATTCAAAGTGGCAGGAAGGAACCCCGTCAGCCACGTCAGGGAACTTTATCGTTTCTCAGTGGGCCCATTTTCTGTGTGAGCGGTGCCCTGTGTGCCTGCCATGTACCCTGTGTTAATCTGTCCCGTCTGCATCACTGCCTGTTTACCTCATCCATTGCTGCAGTATTTGTTTACTTCACTCTGCCTGGGTTCTGCACGACTCAGATTTAGCCGTCCAGCTGGGCATACCCCAATGAAAGAGGTTGTTGCCCCTCGGGGAAGAAGGGGGTTCTGGGCCCTCCCTGGCCAAGCCCTTGGACCAGAGTGGTGGCAGCCAACAAAGGCCCTTGCCTGCTCCAAGGCTGAAGGGGGCAGGAGGAAAGGAGGGGGTGTCCCTTCCCCTCCCCACAACAGACACCCTGTGAGGTGGGTGGGGCTGAGAGCACTCTGACACAAACTGCTCTTTTTTAAGGACAGCTGTGCCAGAGCTTGTGACTGACCCAAGGTCACATCAGCAGGTGCAAGTGGAGGAGTGGGGAATCAAACCCGGTTCTCCCAGATTAGAGTCCGCACACTTAACCACTACACCAAACTGCCTGCACTTGAGATGTTCGTCATGACGTCAGTACACACCAACACTGTGATCCCTGACTGGTTAGGATAATGCTGAAGAAGGCAATGAAGGAACAAAAAATAAGCATGGGAAAGCACAACTCAACAAGTGTGGGGGGGGGACTCCTCAGGGAACGTCTGGATTTCCCAGATCTCCCCCTCTGCCCGAACTCTTAAATGTTTGATGAAGAAGAAGAAAAAGAGGAGGAGGAGATTGGATTTATACCCCATGGCCCTTCACTACCTGAAGGAGTCTCAGAGCGGCTTACAAACTCCTTTCCCTTCCCCTCCCCACAACAGACACCCTGGGAGGTAGGCGGGGCTGAGAGAGCTCTTGACAGAACTGTCCTTGAGAGAACAGCTCTTTTCAGAACTACGGCTTGTCGGATGTTTAATATCCAGCTGTCAGATCATGGTGATCTATGTGTTGACAGAACTGTCCTTGAGAGAACAGCTCTTTTCAGAACTACGGCTTGTCGGATGTTTAATATCCAGCTGTCAGATCATAGTGATCTATGTGTCAGCAGGCAAGCTGCTGGAAACTGGTCCTGACCAGTTAAGACCTGATAAGGCATGAGGTCAGTGACAATGAGTCAGCACTTAGCTGATTGGACGCTGTATGTATATAACTGGACAAGTGCAGCCCTGTTCATTCTCTTCTCTTGTTATGGTGATTGGCGGAGCACTTTGTCAGTGGACTGTAGATATTGTAAATAAAATCTGCATATAGTTTACCACAGGACTGTCTTGGTGTGGTGCTATACAGAGTGCACTCTGAAATTGAGTGCTGGTGAGTGGCTGGTGAGTTGGAGTGGCTGAAATAGTCCTGGTGGCTGACTGCTGCTTGCCCAAGGAATGGAGAATCAAACCCGGTTCTCCCAAACTGGAGTCCGTGCACTAACCACTACACCACACTTAACCACTACAGACATTTGATGCAATCTTAGTTCAAACATTCTAGTAAAGTTAAGGATAAACAAACTCCCTTAAAGCTACTCTGTAATTAGGGTTGCCAGGCCCCAACCAGCAGGGGAGAGGAGGACATACCAGGAGCAGTAGGGAGGCCCATCCGATGTCTGCATCACGGCCCACGTGACCTGGAAGTGAAGTCATCACATCCAGGACATGGGGTGACGCTCTGGTATTTGGGCAAAAACTCTATGGTAGATTTGGCTTCTACCATAGAGTTTTTGCGCAAATGCCAGAGGGTCGCCCAGTATCCTGGAATGTGATGCCATCAATTTGGTGTCATGTGGGCAGTGGCAGACACACTAAATGGATCTCCCTCTTTTGGGGGGTAAGTCCCCCCCTGCCAGCAGCTCATTGGCGGCAGGGAGGTGGGGACTGTCAGCAGGGGACCCCCACCTCCACCGGGGGGTCTGGCAACCCTGTTTGTAATTAATTCAGGAAATCCAGATTAATTAATATTTGTTCAACATGTTGAGAGCATTGGGGGTGGGTGGGCAGGGAATGCTGAAATCGGCGTTGGGCAGGGCTCTAGGAATTCCCCAAACCGCTATGGCTTTTTACCATAGAGATTTGGGAAATTCCTAGAGCATTGTGTTGGCAGAGTTTAAATATGCAAGGAAGTGGAGCACTGACTGCTCAGAGAAAAATAAGTATTTATTAAAGAGAACAAGCTTTGATAGCGGGTAGGACAGAGAGAGAGTCTTAAGCTAACCAGTCTAACTGCCGTGAGAGGCACAAAGAGCAACAGGAAGCTCTACAGGAGAAGTCTCCAGAAGAGCCAGTCAGGAGGCAGCAAGGACACACTTTGAAAAAGTGGGAAGTCCCTAGTGTAGCTGTGATAACCACCAGTCCTTCGGCTGTCCCCCTGTCTTCAGGACTTCTTCATAAGGCTGCACTATAGACCTTGCAGACTCCAACACATTGTCCAATACTAGGCTCCCCCCCGGCTAGGGCTGCCATGCCGCGACGGCCACCCGCCCACCCACGTCTGCTGCTCCACTGAGCAGTAGCGGGAGCCTGGAGGCCGGAGGTGGGAGGCATCTATAGTGGGCGACATGGCAAGCCCTGTTCAGCCTCCAAAAATGAATTGCATCACCTGCATCAAGTATACATCAGGCCCCCTCGGAGCAGGCCCTGGTGCACCCCACAGATGTCAAGGGCAGAGACCCTCAGCACAATTTCCGTAACAACACAGCAAATACCACCTGCGCACAAAGATCGTTTTGGTTGTACTTGGAATTAATAGAATACAACATCGGGTTTCGGCAGATTTAAGACGAACGCTGTATGGAATCTCAACGGACAGTGTGCTGTCGCCCCCGGCAGAGTTAGCTGACAGTAATAGTAGTCAGTAAAACTGTTGTGTATCTTTAAGTTGCCTATGCCCTCTGGGAATTGTAGTCCCAAGTCAGGTATTTCAAGGCAGCCCCCTTACTGGCTCATAAAGAGTCATTTCCTGCAGCTCAGGGGTGCGAAGCTGGAATTTATGGTTCTTTTCAGTTTTCTTCCTCTAACATTTAGCACAAGGAGTGATAAATGGGGGGGGGACCCATCTCTTTCTCGCCAGGGCTATAGAATTGACCTGAATCACAAAGATGGAACTTCCCACCCAGCGCCATCAGCTTAGATCGTGAGGAATGATCTTCTGAATGCATGTGGAGTGAAGCAAAGGTGATTTAAGTCTCTTCAGTGGTGGTCGTGTGTTGCTCACACCCAGGGGTCATTTCCTGCAGGAGCGCACAGGAGCGGAACTCCGGCAGTAAAGAGCCCAGGGGGCGGACACATCCAACAAGCCCCAGGCCACAAGGAGCAAGAAGCAGCCCTCCTTATTTCCTTCTCTCCCTCTTTCTTTCCCTCTTTCCCTAAGCCCCAGGCCACAAAGAGCAAGAAGCAGCCCTCCTTATTTCCTTCTCCCTCTTTCCCTCCTTCTTTCCTTCTCTTTTTTTCTCTTCTTCCTTTCTGCACAGATCTGTGCGCTCCATCCCCCCAGCTATCAATCCAAAATAGTCCAGTGGCACCTTTAAGGCCAAGGTTTATTCAGGTACAAGCTTTCCCTCTTCTGTGAGGGCAGATCTGCACGTGTCTTCCCCCCCCCCTCCACAATAGCTAGCAATCCAAAACAGTCCAGTGGAGCCTGAGCGGTGGGTGTTGCCTTCTGACACACTTCCGGTGATGTCAGGGGGTGGGGCATATGCAAATAAGTTGTGCTAATGAGTTGTGCTAATGAGCCCCTGCGCCTCATTTTCTACGAAATGACCCCTGCTCACACCTAGAAAGCATTCAGCTCTCAGCCGGGCTGAGCACAAGATGGGATAGACAGAGGGAATCTAACCTGGAACACCAGGTCTTGGGGACCAACGAGGAACGGGCATCCCTTTCATATCACGGCCGTGTCTCCTCTCCCCTTCCCACCAGATACTCACCACCAACTGCTGCTCCAGGTCACTGACTTTGCCCCGGAGCATGGCCACCTCCTGCCGGCTCTCTGACTTCTGGGGCGAGACCGCTTTGGGTGAAGCCCCCGCCTGGCCGGAGAGCTCCGACAGTTCATTCAAAGCCTCTTTCAACTTGAAGACCTCCTTCGAGAGTTCTGTGATCTGCAGAACAGGAGGAGGAAGTGTGGGGACAGCCCGTTCTTTATCCAAAGTTGTCCCCCCTTGTATCAAAACACCCTTTAGTTATCAGGGGCACCCCCTTTCGTTGGCTTTGTTTTTATTATTTATTTTATTTTATTTACTAGCAAATTTATACCCCGCCCTCCCAGCCAGGGCCGGCTCAGGGAGAGTTCATTTCATTTCTTCCCCACCGTTCTGACCAACGGGGACCCATTCTCTTATCCTCCAAGTTATCCTCACAATGACCAGGGGTAATTTCCTGCAGGAGCGCACAGGGGCGGAGCTCCGGCAGTAAAGAGCCCAGGGGGCAGGCACATGCAACAAGCCCCGCCCCCTGCTCCCAGCAGCCCTCAGTCAGAACAAGAAGCAGCCAGGTAAGTTGCAGAGCCCCCACCCCCCCGGCCCAAAACAGTCTAGTGGCACCTTTAAGACCAAGTTTTATTCCGGTACAAGCTCTCCTCTCAGGAACGGTCTGCATGTACACCCCCCCCCCCCAATAGCTAGCAATCCAAAACAGTCCAGTGGAGCCTGAGCGGTGGGTGTTGCGGTGATGTCAGGGGGTGGTGACAAATGCAAATAAGTTATGCTAATGAGTCGTGCTAATGAGCTCCTGCACCTCTTTTTCTACTGAATGACCCCTGACAATGACCCTTTGTGGTATATGGGTCTGAGAATATGTGATTGGCCAAAGGTCACCCAGTGAGTTTCCATGGTAGAGTGAGGATTCGAACCTGAGTCTCCCAAATCCTTGTCCAATGCTCTAACCACTACACCATACTGGCTCTTAGTTTTTAAAAAACTAAGCCTCCACTTCAAAACTTAGCAGCTCATTAGCCTGTAAACCAGAATTGTCCTCTTCAGCAGATTTTTCCTGCCTCGGAAGCCTCTGGCCATGATGTACAGGTTGGTTGCTTGTGGGATTTGGCAGCACCTCTAAGGTGAGTTGACGCACGACCGTCTCCTTCGATATGTCCCAGGGAGAGCACTATGCTCCTTGGAGAGCAATCTGCTGGTGGTCCCCGGTGGTCCCCAAAGACATCCAACTGTCCTCGACCAGGGCCAGGGACTTTTCAGCACTAGCCCCAACCTGGTGGAACTCCCTGCCAAACAACATCAGGGCCCTGCGGGACCTTATGCAATTCCGCAGGGCCCGTGAGGCAGAGATGTTCCGCCAGGCCTTTGGCTGAGGACAGCGACGGCTTCCATCTCAGCTGGCACCCACCTCCTACTCCCTTTCCATCAGCTAGTTTTATTCCTCCTCTCCTTACCCATGAGGTGGCTGTAGACCAGAATGGGGAAGAAACTGTAATTTCGCCACTTGATCTTTTTAGATTGCTGCAGGGGTCATTTCCTGCAGGAGCGCACAGGAACGGAGCTCCGGCAGTAAGGAGCCCAGGGGGTGGGCACATGCAACAAGCCCCGCCCCCTGCTCCCAGCAGCCCTCAGTTGGGCCATGAGGAACAAGAATCAGCCAGTTAAGTTGCAGAGCACCTCCCCCGGCCCACCTTCAGGCACAAGTTCTCCCTCCTCTGTGAGGATAGATCTGCATGTCCCCCCCCACACAATAGCTAGCAATCCAAAACAGTCCAGTGGAGCCTGGATTTCCGGTGATGTCAGGGTGTGCAGCATATGCAAATGAGTTATGCTAATAAGTTATGCTAATGAGCTCCTGCACCTCTTTTTCTACGAAATGACCCCTGGATTGCTGGATTAGCATTATTTATGTACGTATTTTATGGTTTTAATGTTTTTACTATGTTTTGTACATCGCACAGAGCTCTGTGGTAGCGGGGACTCAGTGATTCATAAGTATTAGCAGTAGTAGCAGCAGCACAAAAGATTCCGGGAGGCAATTTCATACTGCATTCCATCTGTGAAGATGCTGGCCCTTGGAGGTTAGTGACAGGCCCTCAAAAAACGGTGACCCCCCCCTTATGTCTGACAGTTACTCACTGTGGACGCCAGCCGTGACCCCTCTTCTTCGGCCTCAAGACCTTCGCCCCCCCTCCCTCCCAAGCGCTCACTCCTCACCTTCTTGTCCTTCTCCTTGACCAGCTTGGCCGAGTCCTCGATGTGGCTGTGCAGCTCCTGGATCCGGTCCGACTCGGCCCGCAAACTCTTCAGCTGCTTCTCTGCCGCGGCCAACTGAGCCTCGGCTGCGTGCTTCTCGCTCTTCATGAAGAGTGCCTCACGCTGCACCTGGAAGACCTCGGTACAGGTGCGCTCGTGCTTCCGCCCCAGATCGGCCAGTTTGGCGTTCAGCGCTTCCACTTCGCCCTGCAGGCTGGCCCGGAGCTGCTCGTGGACCTCCTTGGAGACAGTGTCCCGCCGGACAGCGTCCAGCTCCGCCTGCAGCCGTGTGAACTCCTTGTTCTTGGCGTTCAGCTCTTGCTCCAGCAGTTTAGACTTGGCCTTCAGCTCCCACAAGGTGCCCTCCAGAGCCTCCTTGGCACGGGCATGCTCCGTCAGGGGCACCGACTCTCGTCTGTAGCTCTCTGACTTCTTCTGCAGTTCCGCCAGCTCCTTCTGGGTGGTGGTGTGCCTCTCCTTCAGCTCCGCCAGCTGCCTTTCGGCCTCTGAAAGCGAAGACCTCGCTTTCGCCACTGTCTCCTCATGCGCCTGCTTGGGGACATACTGGGAGGCCAGCCTGTCCTCGGCGGCCCGAAGTTCCTTTTCCATTTTCTTGTGGCCCTCTTTGAGCTTCTCCACCTGAGCCTGCGCTTCCTCGTTCCTCTTTGTTGCGGCCTGGAGCTGGCTCTGCAATCTGCCGGCTTCCTCCCGCAGGCTCTGGCTTTCTGAGAGGCCTCCTTCGGCCTTCTCCATCTCGCGGATCTTCTCCTTCAAGGCTTCTCTCAGTTCCCTCACCTCCGCCTCAGCAGAGCTGCACCTTGTCAGCAGGGCCTCCTTCTCTCTGGAGGCCTCCTCCAGGGAGACGACGAGGGAGGCCTTCATCTCCTCATACTCCTTTGCAGGGGAGCCGTGCGCAGCTGTCTCCTTCAGCCGTCCCTCCAGGTCCTTCACCTTCTGGTCTCGCTCTTTCAGGTCCTCTTGAGCCTGGTGCAGGGCAGCCTTCACTGCCTCTAGTTCCGCTCTGGAGCTCTCCACAGCATCCCTCTCCTCCACTGACAGGATTCCCAACTCAATTTGTTCCTGAAGGAGCCTCGCTTCCTTGAGGGCAGCCTGGTATTTCTCTTGGGTCTCGCTCAGTTCTTTGGCCATCTTGTCCAGCTCGCTCCCCATCACTTCCTTCTCCTCTTCCATCCCCAAGCCAGAGTTCCTCTTCTCTTGATCTGTGCTCTTCCCATCGGTTGGGGAGCCGCTCCTCTCCAGAGCCTCTTTGAGGGCTCGGATCCGCTGCTCGTAATCGGACTTCAGATTCTCGTAAGCCTCCGCTGAGATGAGCTCGCAGGAGGCCTCGCTGGTGGTGGTGCCCCCTTCCGTAGCCTCCAAGGCTGCCCGGGCCTCGGCGTGCTGCGCCTTCAGCTTGTCAAACTCCGACCTCAGTGAGTCATACAAGATGATAGGGATGAAGTCGCCAGAAACATCCGCGTCACTCTCGTCCCTCTCATAATTCTCCAGGATCTGTGCAAAAGGGGAAGTTGGTTGGTGGGGAAAGAGACCCATGGAGCCATGGGAGACATTCCCTGAGTTAGTCCTTATTTGGCAGGATTGTACCACAAGTGTCTTGAAATACAACTCTACGGGCAGAGCTGCTTGTGAAGGCTAAAGACCGTGCGTCCAACATGGAGGGCTGCTCCATACAGGGGGGAACAGTAGGTGGGCAGGCATGCCCATCACATTCTCTCCTTCACCCTCTCCCTGAAGGCCACTTTGCTTTGGAACTCACTATCTCTCAATTAAGGTTGCCAACTCTGACCTGGGAAATTCCTGGATGTTTGGGGGAGGTACCTGAGGAGGGGAAAATTTAGGGAGGGATTTCACCTAGACTCTACGGCATGCCATAAAGTCTGCCGATAAGGTATCAAGTTCTTTCCCCTCGGTTTTGGCACATTCCTGGGGTTGCCATCTCTGGGCTGGGAAATTCCCACAAATTTGGAGGTGGAGCCTCAGGAGGATGGAGTTGGGGAAGGGACCTCAGCAGGGGGCAATGCCACACAGCCCCCCCCTCTCCAAAGCGTCCCTTTTCTCCAGGGTAGCTGATTTCCGTAGCGTGGAGATCAGCTGTAATTCCAGGGGGACTCAAGGCCACACCTGGAGGCTGGCAACCCTACTTTCAATAACCACTGGTTTCTCACAAGTGTTTAACTAATATCTGGAGACACCTTCTCCCCCGGAACCTTGAACCCTGTCATCTCCCCCTCTATCCTCATGCCTTTCCTCCCTTCCTAATTAGGTGGTTCATTTTAGATCCCAAACCAACAAGTAGGATTTGTTCTCTTTTAGCCTGACCATTGTTGCTCAAATAAAAATATTAATATTCCACTTTCCTGTTAGCCTGAAACCCCTTACAATCCATAAAGATCGGGAAAGCACAGGTTTAAAGTCATTATAAAATGCAGGAAAGAACTGGAAGTTCTACTGATTGTCCATCAAGCCATTCCAGTCCTAGGAGAAGGTTCCATTATTAAAAACAAAACAAAACACAACTCTTTGAAGGAGGACTGCCTGGCAGACCATCACCACCATGACCATCTGAACCACCTGTAGAAGACGTTTCTGTAACCCCAGAGTGGCGACTGAAAAGGTCTAGCTGTGGACAAATGTGGAATGTGTAAGATTGCCAACGTCCAGGTGGGTCCAGACCACAGAGATCAGTTCACCTGGAGAAAATGGCTGCCTTGGCGGGTGGACTCTATGGAGGGGTGTCACACATATGGCCCGTGGGCCACAACCGGCCCATCCGGGGCTCTTATCCAGCCCTCGAGCAACTGGTCATTACCTTTATTGCCAGGTGACCGAGGGTGGGCATTATGTCCCCGCATACTGTCCCAGTGCTAATGTGTAATGGGTGGCGGAAGTGGGAGGGAGGGCAGCAGAGAGATTTGGTAAGGAACTACGGTAAAAGTGTTAATGTTTTAAGCATGTTTATATTTTGAGTTTTAAAAAAAAGTAATATTGTTAATTGGGTTTGCCTGTGACCTTTATAAAGTTTTTATCTCCAGTACCTGGCACACTTGGCCTGGCCCGACAAAGTGACATTTCCGTCAGATCCGGACCTCGTAACAAATGAGTTCGACACCTCTGCTCTATGGCATCATACCCCACTGAAGTCCCTCCTCTCTCCAAAACCAGGCCTCCCGAAGCTCCACCCCCAAATCTCAAGGTCAGGGGTCATTTCCTGCAGGAGCGCACAGGAGCGGATCTCCGGCAGTATAGAGCCCAGGGGGTGGGCACATGCAACAAGCCCCGCCCCCTGCTCCCAGCAGCCCTCAGTCAGAGCAAGAAGCAGCCAGGTAAGTTGCAGAGCTCCCCAGCCCCCCGGTCCAAAACAGTCCAGTGGCACCTTTAAGACCAAGTTTTATTCAGGTACAAGCTCTCCCTCCTCTGCGAGGGCAGATCTGCATGTCCCCCCCCAAAAATAGCTAGCAATCCAAAACAGTCCAGTGGAGCCTGAGCGGTGGGTGTTGCCTTCTGACACACTTCCGGTGATGTCAAGGTGTGTGGCATATGCAAATAAGTTATGCTAATCAGTTATGCTAATGAGCTCCTGCACCTCTTTTTCTATGAAATGACCCCTGCTACTAACCATCCCTCTTTGGGGTTACAAAGTGAGTTAAACTACAGTCAGTCACACAGGCCCAGGCAGAAACTCTGTGGAGATGGATTGGAGAAGTACGTCGGATGGTGAAAAGGCATCTTGTTTAGGGCCGGCCCGAGGCGAGGCTGCGGCCTAGGCGAGGCTGCAGGCTGCAGATGCCAACCTCCCGGTGGGGCCTGGAGACCACCGCACCAGGAACCCAGTGGCAGGGGGGCCGGGCGCTCAAAAAAAAAGCCCCGCGGCCTCAAGGTTGCAGACGGGGGGGGGGGAGGATTGTGTGAATCAGACAGCCAGACAGCCCTCCACCTCAGCGCGCCCCGGGACCATGCGGCCCTTTACCCCCTCTTGGCAGCACTCCTTACCTGCTGCTGGAGCTGCCACCGCTGCCGCCACACAAGTGCCTGCGGTGGGAGGAGGTAGGTGGGCGAGGGGGTAAAGGGCCGTGCAATCCCATGGCGGAGGGCTGCCTGGCTGGCTCAGGCGCCAGCAGCAGGGCGCGCTTACCTCCTGCCTGGTGGCACCTACAGCAGCTCCAGCAGCCTTGGGTCCCCCAGCAGGCGGCGGCAAGTGCCGCCCCAGCACGGGCTCCCTTCTTCATGCGCCCGCTCTGCCGGCGCCTCTCCCCACCGGCCTTGGGTTGCTGGAGAGGGTCTGGGCGGGCAGGCAGGAGGGACGTGGAAGGAAGCCTCGGGGATCGGTGCTGGCTTTTGACGGGGGGAGGCAAACTTTGGCACCCCCATCCAGGGCTTGCCGCTCTAGGCGAGTGCCTAGTTGGCCTAGCGGGAGAGCCAGCCCTGATCTTGTTTGCATGATTTATTCATTGCTTACTGTTCAGTATCCTTTTTCTAAGTGATTTATGGCTTCAAAACAGTATGAATTATAGTAAATGAAAACTGACATCGAAATCAATGAAGAAGAATGTACCTGTATTTTCTCCATCAGCTCTTTGTTCTTTTGAGTCAGGGACTGCAGTTGGCCCTGCAGGGTGGCCAAGAGTTCCTCTGTAGAGGTGCTCAAGCTTTTTTTTGATAGCAGCAGCTCAGCCCCTGTTGAAAAGAAGTGGAGGAAGGTCCCCAAGTCTGTCCTGAAGGTACATAATGGGGCCACTTTGCTGGAGCTAAAGAGGTCTGAGAATGGTAAGAGCCGGGAACAAGAGACCAGACCACTCACAAATCCTTGAGATACTTTTGTTAATTTTTGTCTTTCCTAACTCCTTAGCATAGAATTGTTATTTGTTATGACTGTGCTGTGAGGTGGCTGTAAATTATATACTCAAACACATTATGCGTCTCTTAAATGCAGGCCCCAGAAGCTTGCGTGCTTGTGGGTTTTTTGCAGTGCAAACTACAAACCCATTATTCAGTGCAACTGCAACCATAGGATGCTGACACAAGGTGTGATGCTAACAGAAGTTGCATCGATCAAGATGGGTAGCCATTTTAGTCTGTCTAAAGCAGTAGAAAAGAGTAACAGTCCAGTAGCACCTTATAGAGTGACTAACAAAATTTGTGGCAGGGTATAAGAAAATTTGTGGCAGGGAGTGAGCAGCGACTCATGAAAGCTCATAGGATGGATAGTGGCGCACACAAAGCAGCCCTCGAGAGATTTGCTGAGGAAATCTGTGGACTGGGTTAATGGAATCCCTGTATGTGGAAAGGTAGTCCCTAAAAAGTAATCTTCTCCCTGGGAAGCTACCGAGACATTCTTAATGTGATCTCCTCTCCCCTATCTTCCAGCATGAAGTAGTTCAATCTAGGAAGAACTCAACCATGGATTTTTTAATGAATAATGCAAGCTCTTCATTATCTATGCTAAATTATGGAAAAAACCTAGAGCAGGTGGGCCCTTAAAAAATACAAAGCCAAATAATTCAGTTACCAAAAAAGATCCTGAGCTCATGCTCTGGGCAGGACTTAGCATAAGATCAGCAAATATACCTTGGAAAGGAGATCTATCTGTTTTGGAAGACGCTGAGCTAGGCGGACCTTGGATCTGATACAGCAGGGTCCTCCTTGCAGAGCAGAAGCTATTAGCCAAGATGGGTTAATGGATACTCCATGTACAGAGGCAGTCTGCCTCTGCATTCCAGCTGCTATAGAGGGAACAGCTGAGGAAGGGCTCTTGCCTTCGTGCCTTGCTTTGTGGGCATCCACCCCAGAGGAATATAGTTGGCTGCTGTGGGATACAGGATGCAGGACTGCATGCACCACTAATGTGATCCAACAGAGCTCTAGATCAGGGGTGTCAAACGTGTGGCTCAGGGCCCCCCAGAGGGCTTCTATCAGGCCCGCAGTGGAACTGGGCTGCCTTCTGCTGCTTCTTCCAGTTCTGCTGCTGCTGCTGCATCATCGTAGGTTTGCAGCTTACAGATACACACCTGAACAGCACACTCAAGACTGCAGCAGCACAGACATTTTGATGCAATGATTCAGAGCAAGAAGTGTCCGTTATCAGACACTGTTAAATAAGCAAAATATTGCAAGAGTGCTCATGTTTTAAGCATGTTTCTATTCTGTGTTTGCGTCCTTTATGAAGTTTATATCTCCGCTACCGGGCATTACATTTTATGACAGACGTGGCCCAGCCCAACAAGGTCTCATTTATGTCTGATCCGGCCCTCGTAACAGATGAGTTCCACACCCCTGCTCTAGATTCTCCGGGGCTAATGGGGTGGGGGAGCAGGGCACAGGCCCCTACCTGGGAACTCCAACAGTTCTTCATCCTGCAGTGTCTCAATGTCATAGCTGGTGTTCTCCTTCTCATTCTGAAAGTGAGAAGAGCAGAGAAAGGGAAGATCCGGGGCTGTTTGGTGCAGAGGGTCTCAAAAAGGGGGTCCCCTGAAATCACACCAACCTACAACCTTGGGGGTCCTAAGGGAAGCTTGGTGCTTGACCGGGGGGGGGGAATCCAGGGGGGAATCCAGTGGTGGAGAAGCAGGTGGGGGGGAGGTATTGCTTAGCAGGACCTGCCTGCTTCCCACCTGCTCAGCCCATATATTTGCAAATAAAATAAGCAGAAACACTAGTGTGCTCTCTTCACAAGGAAGCCGGAGCCATAAAGAAGCTCCAGAGTTTTCCTACTACTCAAGGAAATGTGGAACATGAAACTATGCATATATTAGTCCAGTGGCCATACAAGGAGTAGACGTCTCCAGTTAGGGACTGTGCTGGGGGACGGGGGTGCCACTGGGATGGCTACCCAGCCTGCTCTGCAGCTCCACCAGTGCTGGTGGTCATAAGAAGAAGAAGAAGAGATTGGATTTATACCCCCTGGCCCTTCACTGGGAGTCTCAGAGCGGCTTACAAACTCCTCTCCCTCCCCCTCCCCACAACAGACACCCTGTGAGGTGGGTGGGGCTGAGAGAACTCTGACAGAAACTGCTCTTTTTCAAGGACAGCTGTGCCAGAGCTTGTGACTGACCCAAGGTCACATCAGCAGGTGGTATTGCAGCTACCAGCTCAATGGGGTTCTGTTGACATAGAGGGCCAGTAGGCTTTCTCCTGCACTTTTAAAGCCGTTGATGCTGACTCAGCACTTTAGGCTAGGCAACATTTCATGTTCGACTAATAAGAAGCCTTCAGCCACTCCCCTCTGCTCCTGTACCTCCAGGGATGACAGACGGCTCCGGAGGAACTCCAGTTCTTTCCCCAAATTCTCCTTCTCATCTGTTGTCTCGGCCAGTTGCTTCCGAAGATCTTGTATCTGGCAAAGCAGAGCAAATATTATTCCCAGCATTCCTGTTAGCCAGTCAGGTTTCTTGTGATGTCTTTCTTTTAAAAGGAGAGGGGGTTAATTCTGGCAAGAATTGCTGCTCTGGTTTAAAAAAAAAAAAGATGATGCTTCTTGTTGCTAGATTGCTAGACATGCAAATAGGGCTTAAACCCTCTAATTCCCAGGATATGATTTACCTGTTTCTCCATCGTATGTAAGGAGCCATCCTCCAGGCCCGGTCTCTAGCATAAAGGGGAAAAAAGGCCAGACATGGTTAAAACTGACTGAAAAGCTTCACATTTTTAGAAGAGAAGACGAGGGGTTATATCCGACTCTGTGGGTACTCGAATGTATGTGGTGCAGTTAGCTGACGGTCGAATATGGCGGCGCCACATAGATCAGTTAAGGAGACGTTGGGCTAGGGACAGCGCTGACTCTCCGACGGCTGAATCCCCTGATGTCGAGTGGACACCCCCAGAGCAGGCGGTGAGTACCGAAAGGCCCGGTACTGTCCCCGAGTCAGGGCAGAACCCTGTGTGCGGGGCTGAAATCCCAGTCGAGTCTGTGCCTGATCCAGGCTGTAGTGAACCCCACTCTGACCCACAACCTTGTCTGCCCGTGGTGCCTGCACCGCTCCGCAGGTCCCAGCGTTCGCGGCAAATGCCGACTTATCTGAAGGACTATGAGTGTAAATACTGTTGGAATAACTGATGTACAAAGGTTGATTGCATGTTTGTAAATAATAAAACAATTGGGATGATGGCTTAACTTAGGGGGGAGGAATTGTAATGTATTGAAATGATTACATGAATCACCTCATAGGACTCCCATGTTAAGCTTCGAGCCAGACCAGGGCTCCTCTGAGCGAACTTCCTATTGGTCGCTTCGTAACAGCGACCAATCAGAACGATACCATTCCCTAGGAGGGATTTGTGGGAGTCAAGGAGCTGCTGACATCTAATGCCGTACTCACGCATTATGATGAACACAAGCTCCTGGTGTTAGCTGCTGACGCTTCACCGTTTGGAGTAGGCGCAGTTTTAAGCCATCTGATGCCTGATGGGAGCGAAGCGCCTATCGCTTTTTATTCTAGATCACTATCTGCGGCAGAGCGGAACTATGCCCAGATAGACAAGGAGGGTCTGGCGTTGGTAGCGGCTGTCAAAAAGTTCCATGATTTTATTTTTGGCAGACGATTTTTGCTGGTCACTGACCACAAGCCGCTACTGGGGATTTTTGCGCCCGATAAGCAATTGCCAAACATCATGTCCCCACGCATGCTTAGATGGGCGATATTTTTGCAGGCTTATGATTTTGACTTAGAGCACCGGCCTGGGAAAGCGATTGGGCATGCGGATGCCCTCAGCCGGTGCCCGGTGCCGGACATTGGCGCAGACCCTGCCCCCGCCTGTGAGGTCTTGGCAATTGAGGAGCTTCCTCGACCCCCGGTATCATCCAGGGACATTGCAGCACACACGGCCAAGGATAGCGTGCTGTCCCGAGTATTAAACTGGGTTTGGAGGGGGTGGCCGGTTGGAAGCGTTGAACCGGAGTTCGGCCCTTACAAAAGCCGTCAAAATGAACTATCCATTTCTAAGGGCTGTGTATTATGGGGGAACAGGGTGGTGGTTCCTGACAAACTCAGGACGAGAGTGTTAGAGTCGCTGCACGAGGGTCACCCCGGTATGGTACACACCAAAGCGTTGGCCAGAGGGTATGTCTGGTGGCCGGGGCTGGACAAAGAGATCGAAGAATGGGTACGAGGGTGTCCCAAATGCCAGCAAGTCAGACCCGATCCCCCACAAGCTACACCCCAAGGCTGGGAGTCATCTGGTAAACCCTGGGCCAGATTGCATATAGATTTTGCTGGCCCTCTCCAAGGGCAAATGTTCCTAATTGTGGTGGACGCTATGTCCAAATGGCTGGAGGTCGTGCATATGAAATCGACCACATCACTTGCTGTGATCCATGCGCTCCGCCGACTTTTTGCCACCCACGGGTTGCCTGACGTCATCGTCAGTGACAACGGGCCTCAATTTGTGTCTGAGGAATTTAGGCTCTTCCTCACGAGTAATGGCATACGCCAAATGACTTCGGCCCCTTTCCATCCGGCATCTAATGGCCAAGCCGAACGGATGGTCAGGACGGCCAAAGAGGCCCTGGGTAAAATGGACGAAGGGGACTGGAGCCAGAGGCTGGGCTCCTTTCTTTTGCTGCAGCACACCACCCCCTGTAGTGCTACAGGCCGTAGTCCGGCCGAATTGTTAATGGGGCGGAGACTCACGACCCGTTTGAACCGAATGCACCCAGACCTCACTGAAGAGCAATCCGAGCGTACCACGGCGCAACCGAAGGTGCGCATGTTTGAAAAAGGGGACAAGGTTTTCGCACGAAATTATGCAAACGGGCACTTGTGGCTTCCTGGGGTTATATCCGACTCTGTGGGTACTCGAATGTATGTGGTGCAGTTAGCTGACGGTCGAATATGGCGGCGCCACATAGATCAGTTAAGGAGACGTTGGGCTAGGGACAGCGCTGACTCTCCGACGGCTGAATCCCCTGATGTCGAGTGGACACCCCCAGAGCAGGCGGTGAGTACCGAAAGGCCCGGTACTGTCCCCGAGTCAGGGCAGAACCCTGTGTGCGGGGCTGAAATCCCAGTCGAGTCTGTGCCTGATCCAGGCTGTAGTGAACCCCACTCTGACCCACAACCTTGTCTGCCCATGGAGCCTGCACCGCTCCGCAGGTCCCAGCGTTCGCGGCAAATGCCGACTTATCTGAAGGACTATGAGTGTAAATACTGTTGGAATAACTGATGTACAAAGGTTGATTGTATGTATGTAAATAATAAAACAATTGGGATGATGGCTTAACTTAGGGGGGAGGAATTGTAATGTATTGAAATGATTACATGAATCACCTCATAGGACTCCCATGTTAAGCTTCGAGCCAGACCAGGGCTCCTCTGAGCGAACTTCCTATTGGTCGCTTCGTAACAGCGACCAATCAGAACGATACCATTCCCTAGGAGGGAAAGACTCCCATTGGTCTTTATCCTAACAATCTCATTGGTTGTTATTTGTAAATAGGCGTGGCTACATTAGCCCGGTTATGTTTAAAAGGAGCATAAGCTCCCACTGTTTTCTGTTCTGGTTTCTTACTGAGTTAGTGCTTGCTCGTTACTTCCAATAAAGCTGAATCACTTGCTGAATCACTCTACGAGTCCTTTGTTAGCGCGATTACCATCGGGCCAAAGAGAAGAGTGAGCGCGGAGCAGCGCTTGTGGGAAATCACCCCAGTTCTCCCAGATTAGAGTCCACGCTCCTAAATACTTCACCAAACTGGATTTTAGAGAAGCTTCATATATTTATCTACTTATTTACTTATATCTATTTGTGTCCCGCCCTCCTCGCAAGCACGCTCAGGGCGGGTGACAACAATGGAAATACAAAATCATCAAAACAATTTAACAATAAGTAGTTAAAACGGTTAAAATAGCAGGTAATACAGTACTAGAGAATATATAAGTTTCCAGACATACTGAATGATTAAAAACAACCAGGCTGTAGAACCAGGAGCAATGACAGATCTCCGTAAAGGTGTTCCAAATTCAACTA